GCGATCTCTCTCCCATCATTTATTTCCCTTACCAACCCATAATTTCCTACAATCCACGCCGTAATAATCCAAACTTCCCTTTACCCAATAACATTAGTTGCGGCATATTCCCCGCCTAAAAAACCCATTTCCGAATCCCAAATAATTTCCTTCCTGAATTCCTTAGGACACCATTTCATCCTAGGTGCAGATTTAAATGCAAAACACCAACAATGGGGAGCCAGATCCACAAATTCCCGAGGGCGAACACTGCTATCTGCACTTAATTATAATAATTATAAATATGATATAATAAGATAATTATAATTATCCCATCGCAGCAACATCCTTTCACCTAATACTCCCACATACTGGCCAACAGATCCCAACCGCAATCCCGACCTTCTAGACTTTTACCTACACAAAGGTCTAGGATCACTACACTGTTCCATTTCAAGGCTTGATGATCTTTCCTCAGACCACAGTCCTATAGTCCTAACCGTTTCCACATCACCCATTCCTAAATCATACCCTCCTTCATTTATCAAGGAACCTTTTCCGTCTTTAGTAATTTTGAAAGAGCGATAAATTTTCTATATATCTCATGTAGATACAGTGATAGAAAAAAGTATTTGCACAACACGTTTTTATGAATAAAGTAGTTCAAGGAAACAAAAAACTTCGCTTTCCTTTGCAAAAATGAAAAGTAAATTTATTAAAAACTGAAAAACTATTTTTACAAAAAAATAAAAACACTTCATAATCAAACAAAATAATTAAAACAATAAAAGTGCTTGGAAAAAAGAATTTGCACACTTCCACATTTACAAGTTTATTTTAAATTTTAATACTTTTAATATTTTGTAAATAGGCCATTTGCGTCAATAATTGTAGACGTCTGGGCATTGAATGCACTAGGTTTTTAATTAAATCTAAGTTTATTTGTTCCCATTCTTGAACAAGAAGTTGTTTAAGGTGATGTCCACTAGTGATATGGTGTTTTCTTACATTTTGGTCAAGGGTGTGCCATAAATTTTCAATGATATTTATATCTGGTGACTGAAGAGGAGTGTGGAGCTGTCTTGGAACATTAAATATTCACCACTCCTTTGTTCTCCTCGCAGTATGTTTTGGATCGTTGTCCTGCTGGAAATAGTACTGATACTGGATTACCATTTATTCGGCACTAACACGCAAATTACGTCGCAAAATGTTCAAATAGCCTTCCGCATTTAAAACGCCTTCGATGCTCACAAGATTTCCCACGCCATGGTAGGAAACACACCCCCAAACCATAACATGTCCCCCACCATGCTTTACAGTTGTTAAAACATTTGGCTTCTTTAGGGCTTCATTACGATGTACGACGATTACGCCATATCGTCCTTCGACCATCTGAACCAAACAAATTAAATTTGCTTTCGTCAGAAAAGATGACATTTTGCCAAAAGCTTAAGGGTTTCTGTACGTACTCCCTAGCAAAAGCAAGGCTTCTTTCTTGGAACTCTACCATGGAGCCCTTTCGAATTCAGGACATATCTAATTGTCCTGCTAGTAATCTGAACTCCAGACGTTGATTGGACCATTGTAGCCAGCTCCCGAGAACTTATCAAAGGATTTTTAAGAGCTTCTTTTCTGATTTTCCTCTTCAGCCTGGGATTTCCTTTTTTGGATGCCCTTTACGCTCACTGTTTTCGGTTGAACCAACTTATTCATACCTTTTTATGACGTATCTCACTGTAGAAAAATTCAACCCTAAGAAATCGGCAATTTGGCGAAATGTTTTTTGCTGACCCCCTCAGTAAAACAATTTTTTCGTGAGTTGCGGAACACAGTTCACTTGTCTTTGGCATGATAATTGGCTATTGACTAAAGGAAACTGATTGAAAGACTAGAGAATACTGGTAATAAACGATTAGAAATAAATTAGTTAACAAACCTATGACCTATGGACACAAGAGGATTAAAGCCAAAGTAAACAGAGCTTGTGAATCATAGTGTGCAAATACTTTTTTCCAAGCAGGTTTATTGTTTTAATTTTTTTTTTCGTTATGGAGTTTTGTCATTTTTTTCCAAAAGGTTTTTCTCAGTTTTTAACAAATGTACTTTTTATTTTTGCAGAGGAAAGACTACAAAAAACATAAGAAACATTATTTTCTTTTTGTCAATAGTTTCAAAGTTATGAGGGGTGACAGAATTAGAATCAAGAAAATTTCGTAATAATTAAAACTTTACAAAATTTCCTACAAAAAAAAAAATCGAATTCAGACCATTATGAACATTTTATGACCATTATGAAGGATACAGACTACAGCAAATTGTACAAAATGTTTGGTTTAATATAATGAATTAACTATTTTAATGCGACCAAGAGAACGAAAATGAATTCTTCCACCTCATAATACATTGCATTAACATATTTCCCTAATTTATCAATTGTTCACTGACCAATATTTTATGCGAATTGTTCGCACGGGCTAGTTAGTATTATGATTATACAGTGGATCTAAAAATTATTGATGCACTCTAATTTTTGAGCTAATCTCACGAGAATTAAGACATTTTCCAGGAATAATATTTATATAACAAAGTGGTCTTTGAGTATTATATTTTAGAAGCAATGCATGTTCAGAACTCAACAGCTATGTTTAAATTAAAAATAGAGGGTAAATTTTAATGGTCGTTTAATATTTAATATTAGCTAACGGTTTAATATTAGCTCCAGTCAAAACATATCAATCCTTTTTCTTTCAAGAGATTACTAACGAGGATTGTCAATAATACAATGTACGTGCAGCAGTTCGGTTTACTTTGTCCAGGCCACCTGACTTGCCAATTGCTTCGAACAAATCTTTCTAGCCGATAAAATGGTCTTCACCATAATAAATCTGCATCGTCCCCTTAAGATCATCCAAACTTCTCCAGCATTTGACTCCCTTTTAGTAGCATCTTGAAATATTCTGTTCATCTGTCTACTATACAGTCGTTTAGCCATAAATAGATACTGGTTCTTTTTTTCTTTTCCGAGATTTTGGCACTTCCTTTCTCGTTCGCGTAATGTATTTTTCCAATTTTTGGGTTCGATTTCGCGTTTTCCTTCATTTTGACACCTAATCCAAACAATCAGTTCCGGTTACTAGAACAACTTATAGTTTCGCCCTTTCCATATTTATTTGTGTAGAGGGAATAATGCATTCAATATTAAAATTTCCTATTTTTTTATGATATGGTCCAACTTCCAAAAAATTAATTCCGCAATTTAATAACAATAAATTTTACTAAACAACCCGGCAACTATTTATTATATGTAGTTCAGATTAGGTATATATTATTTTAGTTCATAAAACAGGTATTGATATGGCTCATTTCCTGGAAAGAATATACAATTTAAATTACCTCTAAGAATCAGTAAATATACAAAACAAAGTGTTAAATTGCAAACGTTAAATAAAAAATTCAAGATATTCAGCAAAGTATTTTTCAATTAAGTTTTATTATTATAATCATATCATTTTTACAATAGATGTCTACTTTTCACGACCTTCGTATAGAATAAAGTAAGTTAAATAAAAAAATAAAATAATAAATTTAAAAAAAAAATTGTTTAATTTTTTTTTGACAATTAAATGATTGCATTAATATTTATTCGTTAACAAAACCAATATAATGTACCAAAAACGTTATTATATCATTATAACTAAGCCATTTAAGTGTAAAGAATGGTGTGGTAGAGGTACCTACGCCGGCACCACTTTTTTCCCGAATAAGTGCTTTTTCTACGTAACTACTTCAAATATTTTAAAAAGTAATCATTGTTTTAGAAAGAAAAATATATTCTCCAGATGTTTTATTTTAGCACAACTTGCGTTATTGTTGCCCGTTTAATTACAAACGACGCTTGATTTTCAACTTGAAAATTTTTTTGTTAAAATTTTTGACTTTACTGGGTTTTTTTATTGCCTAAGCCAATCTTTTTTAAATATTTGTTCTTGTTTTATTATTTTCTGACTATTCAGCTTTAATAAAAGACCAACAATGAGGAAGTTAAGGCAGGTGTTGATTCTCAGTGACCAAAAAATTAACTAAAGTCAAAGTCGCCAATCCGCCATCTTTGGACGCCATTTTGATTTTTCTTTTTTAATAAATAGTTACAAGGAACACAACGATATGCAATTTATAGGGATGTGGGGGAGGGGTGCAGGATAGGGAGGTCTGGCCCACCGTTTAATAGACTCCAATGGCATGATAATAAAATATTAATAAATTTCTAGTCCATGAAATAAACCTTAAATTAAAGTGTGCCAATACTTTTTTGACCGTGTTCAAGTGATTTTTCTTTTGCTTAATTTTTTAATTAAGTATAATTTGTTTTATCCCAATTTTGTATTTTTCTAAATATTTTCTTAAATAAAAATGTTTAGCGAATCAATTTCGGGTTATTTTACAATGAATCCTGAAAAAAGTTATGTGTGCCAATACTTTTTTTGATTGTGTTCAAGTGATTTTTCGTTTGCTTAATTTTTTAATTAAGTATAATTTGTTTTACCCCAATTTTGTATTTTTCTAAATATTTTATTAAATAAAAATGTTTAGCGAATCAATTTCGGATTATTTTACAATGAATCATGAAAAAAGCTATGTGTGCCAATACTTTTTTGATACACTGTATCTCGTGCGTCAATAAATAGATAGAAGTATGAAGATGTGTTTATAAAATTTGAAAATAATGATTGGTAATTGGTTGACTGTCGTGGATAATGAAGAGAAGAATAGTTGGGGTGGTCAGTCAAAAAGGAAGGCAAAAATAAATGATAATATTTATTTTTTACGTATATAAATATTATCATTTATTTTTGCCTTCCTTTTTGACTGACCACCCCAACTATTCTTCTCTTCAAATTTGAAAATAATTTGTGCCCAAGAAGAGAATACGAACTATCGATAGTCACTAGGGTTATCGATAGAGCTATCATTAGTTTTAAAGTATCAATATGTACCGATATCGATACTATCGCAACATCCCTAACTACTGCTATCAACCCCAAAAGTATTAGTTCTGTCATATGAGATTGTTTTTGTTACTATGTTGTGTTTTCTGGGAATATATGTTTATACAATTTTTTTATAAGTGTATTATTTTATTCTCCTAAAGTATCTTTTGAACATGAAAATCGTTAATGTAACTAGTTTAAACTCAATGGATGATATCATGAATTTCAACCAGAGTAAGTTTGTATATCTTATAAAAATAAATGTACTAATCCTGCTATATTGTGTTGTTCTTTTTCTTTTAAGCAAACACAATACTTCTGAAGATAAATTCATATTCAATTTAATAAATCTGTGTATCATTCCTACATGTTAGCCATCTTCATATTCATATTGTACTTATACAATTTGCTTTAAATAGTTCTTGCTTGATTCAGAAGTGATAATTGCTTATCTGTGGTGGTGATTGCTGTTCAGTAATTTATTGGAGAAATTTTACATTAAACATTAAAATAAAGTTTTTTTTCTGGTTGTTGTTGAAAGTTAAACCTCTTGTTATTTTTTGTATTATTCAATTTATCTGGTAAACCTATGACAAATTACAATTTGAAATAAATTAGCAGTATGGAATTATGTTATGATGAGTTGTTCTGGTTATGGGCAAAAAGAACCTCTTTTATTTATACATATATTCCTAATTTAAATGTTATGTTTCTATAACATTTTTAGCCATAGTAACATATCATGTTAAAGAAGCCATTTCATTTTTACTAAACATTCTTTCTCTGATAAGCTGTTTAGAGACTCATTTCTATTACTGTTAGCATCTCTATTATGAATGCTTTTCCTGATAATTTTATGTTAAAAAAGGCCATTGAGATGACGTGTAAAATTCAAAAGATAGGGAAAGCTCTCTGAGAGGTATAGCTGGCATTCCAGTGAGCTGAATTTCTGTAAATCAGAAATCGTTCGTTTTGCAATAGTTAAATTGTCTACTTTTACACCTTTTGCATAATTTTGAATAAAAATGGCACGCTTCTTTTAACGACTAATATAATTTAACAAATCTACTTATAAATCATATCTTTCTCCACAACCATGTCATGATGATTATCGTATTGGGATTGAATATTTTATTCTTTACAAAACTTCTTGAAATTAATTAGTCAGAATTTTTTAATACAATATCTTGCCTTGATTGAGCGAGAATCATAATAGCATGAGTTATTTTACTCTACCTTAACCATTTACTAGAAAATAAATATTTTTTTGAATATCTGAAATATATAAATGTTATCAAATTTAGTTTGTATACTGCCCAACATACTTGAATTTATTTCTAAGACTTTGGAGGATAGGAAATTCGTAGGATTTCGGCATTGCATGTAAAATTTGATTGATGTGACAATTTAAATAAAAGATACAATTGATATATCATGAGATATTAAAAAAAACCTGAATTCTAGAGGCACAGCCAACCCTATTCTAATCACAGTGGGAAGGTAACGATTCATTCCATGGATCCACCTTCAAATTAAATTTCAACTCCCCTGGCTGATTTTGAACTGGTATTACTAGACTTGAGAATATGAGAATATTACTAAAGTTTATACTTTATCATGCTTGGGATTACGACCTCATATAGTTTTTAATAACTCACTGACTCATATGTTGTATCCTTTTGATACTTTAACTTCAATGTACTGATTATTTTTTTTCTCTAATCCCCACCTTGCCATTTCTGGTCTATGTGGGAGGAAGTGGTTTTCTAGAGGTACAATCAAACCTTATAACCAGATTAGGAAGGTCTAGATTCATTTGGTGGGTCTTTTTTTAAAAATAAAGTTCCTTTTTTTAAAAAATATATAGCTCTCTTAAATAATTAATATAATTTAAGTAATTAAATTAGAAACAACTTGTAACAGCAACCATAATATCCTTTCTCCTAACTACGCAATATTGATCATCAGAAAAATGAGAAATCTTGGATTAATTCTTCAATTAATACATTTAATGACTGAGGAACTGTCTGAAGAAAATTACCCCACCTTGTCAAAGATTATTTCTCTGGTCTCATAATAAAAGTCTCCCTTTGTTCACGTGGCTAACTAGTAAGTAATAAATAATATTGCTGAAATAATTTCTGGATGATATCGAATTTGATAACATGAGGAGACTGAAAAGTTCATGAATAAGATACCTATAATTTTTCTTTTTACATAAAATGATGCATAGCAGAGACACTTCTGGCCATATTTTTCTTCAGGCCTCACATGCCATTATTTTCTTATTTATACAGCTATCCACTGATTTTCAATGTTATTTTAGTCAGAGGTGGATTTAGAAATAAATTTAGCTGGAAAAAAAAACAAATTTTGAAAGGGTGTAAGTGGAAAAAGGTAAGGAAATCACTGATTAGGGATCATTAAAAGTTACATGATATGTATTGTACAACAATTTTTTTTGGCTTGGTCCAATTTTCTTTAATAATCATTGACAGCTCTGCTACATATACAAATATCAGAGCAGTAAATACAGACAGCCTACTGGCGGATTCCCGCATGCTATGGTCATATGTTGAAATCACAGACCATAATGTCAGTTAAAATCTCTTGAAACAGTCTTCCATTAATCTGGCTTGGCAAGATATTTCTAGAAATGTTATTTGTCTTAGAAACCATGATTACGTGTAGACCCGTCTCTAATTATCCAAACAGTTGATTTATTTAACTTCCCACTGTGTGGTCAAAATAAACCTACAAAATTCTAGTGCCTACAGACATATCCATAAGGACAGCTTAGCAATGTGTAGCAGGTGTAGAATAAAATAAAAAATGTTTAGGTTCACCATCAATTTTTTCCTTTTTCGCCCCCATTTCTGGGTTTCTCAGAATCAGTTATATCATTAAACAATGTCTCATACCCGAACTAAGTGTATATCATTATCAATAATGGATTAGTCAGTTGTATTTACCTTAAACGTGTGAACCAAATAGCATTACATATAGAAAAAAAAGGAAGATAAATCTTTAGAAGCCAGAATTATCAAATGTTTCAATAGCAAAGTAATTTTTAAAAAACATTACATTCAAAATTTTTGGATTTAAATGTCCTCTTTGCAAGGGGACACCACTTTAGACTCAGCCAAACTGGAGCTGATAAAATTCAAAAACCTCATTTTTTTCCCATGATAACAGTTCTTTGGCAAATATCTAAGAAAGAGATATTAGTACAAAGATAATTATCCTAAAATAGTGATTTGTAGTGGATTCTGTCAGCTTCTATTTGAGCACTAATAAATGCTCTTTACGTTAAAAAGAGAATTTATGTTACATAATGTCATGGGGACTGTTGAAACAATGATAATTATTATAAAGATGGGTAATTTCTTTGATATTTGCTAAAACAACTTCTCAAAATGATGATTTTTTTTTTTTTATCATAATCACATGAAATGGACTAATATAACAATAAATCTTTTGAAAGTGTGATACCAAATTTCATTATGATTAAGATTGCATCTAAATAATTTTTCAATCAATCACATAGGGATTGAGTTTATTCCCTGGCAAACATTGATTTTTAACCTATGTCAGCCACTGTTGTGTGAACTTATTTGAGGGTTGAAAGTAAATAATTTACTCACAAAACATCCTTCAGTCATCACAATTTTAATGCATATGCCAAAAAAATAATAAATGCTTCTTAACTAATTCGTTTTAGAAATCAATTTAGATGTAGTTCCAGATGATTACCAAGTTCAAGAACAACCATTATTATATCTTGAAATGTTATACCTGCCAAGTGTTGTCTGAAACCCTTCTCCCCCCACTTATTGTGGTTTATTTATTCTGCCGAGAGCAGTTATTCAATTATGTTCATTAAAGTTTCTTTCTGTGTAAATGTGGCCTGACTTATTTACCACCATAATTCGCATCAGCTGTTCGTTACATGTGCTTTGAAGTTTCAGATTTTATGGAGAAAAACCATTCATCTTCAGCTAATTTTACTAATAATATCTCAAATGATGATCAAAGAAATACATTAGTCACAACCTATCCTTGGATAATAGATTTCAGGAAACAGTGTCTTTCAGAATTAATGAATAGTAGTATGAGGAGTTTGATGAAGTTAATAAAACTTTATTGTTGGTAAGTGATAAAAATAATTCCTTTGATATTTAAAATTATGTTTCAATAACAAAAAAAATATTTGATATTCTGTATGACATAGTTTAGTATTTAGTAGTAATCTAGTTTTACATCTAGAAAATACATCTCTATTATGTATTAATGGTATGAATTCTTTGGAACTATACCAAGTCTTGATATCAGCTCTTTAAAACACAAATCCTATCTTAATCTATCAACATTAGGGGAAGGGAGGGGAGAGGGGTGCAGTCAAATAAATACTAAAGTTTAAAAAATAGTTTTTTTTATTATTACGCTGACATTTCGACCCATCTTGCAGATCTTCATCAGGGCGTGGCATGTGGCACTGCAGGAGGCAGTTGATAGACAGGCCGTTTTTCATATCTCTTCAAACCTGGTGAATTTGGGACCTTCAAACTTTTTGCTACTGAAGGACATTCTTGTGAAAATGTACAATAATGATGCTCTACCAGAAAGAATATGCCAAAAATGGTTTCAATGCTTTAAAAACAATTAAATAGAGTTCAAAGATGATAAATGTCCAGATGCCCTAATAAAGTTTGAAAATGAAGATTTGGATACGTTACTTTTTGAGTATCTAAACCAAACACAAGAAGAACTTGGTGAATCATTGGGAGTTGATCAAACAACAGTTCCTAAACAATTGAAAGCTTTAGGAATACTTCAAAAGCAAGGAAATGGGGTACCGTATCAAATGAAGGGAAAGGATGTCGAATGACATTTACTGCCACAACTCCTTTAATCTAAAAAAAAAATTGTTTGCATCGTATCATAACTGGTGATGAAAAGTGGATAGGCTATGATAACCCAATGCAGAAAAAGTTGTGGGAACTGTCTGAACGCGCCTCAACATTGCCAGCAAAGTTTAAAATTCATAATTCCAAGCTTATGCTTTGCATTTGGTGCGATCAGCTTGGTTTGTTTATTACGACCTGCGTCAGCCCAATGAAATCACCACAGATGATCGTTATAGACTACAATAGATGAGTTTGAGCCAAACCCTGAAGCAAAAGTGACCTCAATATGAGTAGAGACATGATAAGGTAATTATACTACATGATAATTCTTGACCTCATTTTGCAAACCTGGTTAAAATTTATTTAGAAATGCTGAAATAGAAATTTTTGCCTTATTCACCAGACATTGCTGCTTCCAATCACCGCTTGTTGTGATTGTTAACCCTCAGCCTGCCTGCGCAGCGTTTTCATTCTTAAAACGAAACTAAAAAATGGGTCAATGATTGGATTGCCTCAAAAGATTTTTTTTTTATGTGTAATCCATTTGTTACCTGAAAGATGAGAGAAAGTATCTAGCGATCGACAATACTTTGAATGGTTAGCATTTGACTGTTTTTTATATATAAAGTTTTCATTTTTATTAAAAAATAGTAGTAACTTATTCACACACACCCTATAATAAGATTTTAAGTTTTGCTATTGACATTGTCAATTATCCATGAAATTTCCTTTCATTTCATACCTCAATCATCAAATAAAATAAATAAATCCTTCACTCCTGAAAGCTGGAAAACAGGTCTATACTTACTTATCCGCCACAACGACCCGTGAATTCGAGTCTTGGCCTGCTCCAGTGTCGACCGCCAGTGGTTTCTATCAAGTGCTGCTACCTTCCAACTGCAGATATCCAATATGTTCCGGGCATCTAAAGCCACACAATCCTCCCACCAAAGTCGTGGCTGGCCTGCTCTTCTCATACTAAAGATTCGCTCCCTTAGGATTTAGACTGGGATTTCGTCTTCCTCCATTCTAATCACATGTCCGGCCCACCTATGTCTCATTAGCTTTATAAACTGGACTACATCCAATTCCCTATATAGCAGCCTCAGTTCATTGTTAGAACGGCGTTTCCACTCTCCATCAACTATAACTGGACCGTATATCCTTCTTAGGACTCTTCTTTCAAATTTTAGGAGAGTGAATTCATGTGCTTGGGTAAGGGTCCAGTTCTCTGAAGCATAAGTGAGAACCGGCCGGATGAGAGTCTTATACAGCCTGACTTTTACAAATTTTGAGAAGACCGCCACTCATATGCTTTTGCAAAGCAAAATAACAGCGATTAGCCACCATAATCCACTTCTCCACTTCTGCTCCTAAATCATTTTATTGGTTGACCAGAGACAGTAGGTATACAAATTCCTCAAGTCTCTTCACACTCTGCCCATCAATTTGGATATGGATCTCAACGTTTATCGGTTGCAGGCTATATTGACTGATAGTGGCCTTGTAAATGGGCTCTTTTCCTATTTGGGTGTTGTAGTCTCCCATCACAATTTTCATGTCATAGCTGGGACACTCGTCATAACATCTTTCGAGCTCATCGTAGAAAATATCTTTATCTTCATCATTAGAGACCTCGGTAGGAGCATGAGCACATATTAAGCTAAAATTATAGAATTTACCTCTAAGTCGCAAGCTACGTAACCTGGGGCTAATGGGTTTAAAGTCTATAACAAGTGGGGCAAGTCTCTTTTCTATGACAAATCCTGTGCCAAAAGTATGGAGGCGATCATCACAATGTCCCTTCTTGAAACTTCCATTTCCGGTCCATCTGATTTCCTGGGTGGCAGCAATTTCTATTGAAATAATCGTTTAGGGTGTCCAGGAGGGTTTGAAGTGCTCCGTGTCTATATATAGATAAAATGTTCCAGGTGTCTAAATTATATTCCATTTGACGGTTCCTATGTCGTTTTCCAGTATTCAGTCTAGCGCATCGTTGTTGAGCTTTTTTGATGAGGTTATTTAAGAGGAGCAGGGTATCAGCCTACTGCCCTCGAGTCAGGTAGAGGGGCTGCCTCCTCAGAGCTCCCTGACTAGCTCCCCCTTCCGGATGCGGCTAGTCAGGGAATATCTCCGCCTATTTTTCAGCAGAATCTTTCTGATTATTCACTTAATATAGTTCAAGTGTACATCAGAGCAGTTGATATTTACTGTTTGATATATATATATTTTTCTTTATTTTTCTTCTTTTATGATATGCGGTATTATCACCAAGTTATATCCAGTAAGGTGCCCACTAAGAGGACTCGATCAGGCGGCGTTAGTACCCCTTGTGATTCACCAGCCAAACAAAGAACTCGTTGCTGCATACGAGAAACCGCTCCAATAACCTTCAGACCTCTTTACCTAGGAGAGGTGACCCTAGGGTTTGTTCTGTAGGTGACCTTACTCTGTAGTGTATGGGTGAGTGTAGTGTGCTGTGCTATGTGTACTGTGAAAAGGGGATCTATACTATCATATTATAAATAAGGTTGAAAAATAGTCAGGATATGGTTTATGTTGTTTATTAAGCTTATTGACATTTGAACCCAAGCACGTGAGTCACCATCAGGTCAATAGTTGCTGGCTAGACAAGTCACTCACACTTCCTCAGTTCTTGTCTAGCCTCCAACCATTTCCCTGATGGTGACTCCCGATTAGAAGTTGTGATGGGGGAGAGTGTTGGGGCATTGCCCGCTGTAGTGCCTAGCGTTGGCGGTTCGACTCCGGGCCTGGGAAGAATTGATTTTTTTTCATGGCAGACCCACGGAATGGAATCAACCTCTCACTCTACCTCTACCTTCTCACTCTGGTTAGAATAGGCTTGGTTGTACCTCTAGAACGCCCCTCTTCCTGTATGCCAGAAATAATGTGAAGGGGGTAATCCAATAACAAAAAAAGATAACTCCTGATGAGCTGCTGCTTCTTGGTGACGGATTCCCTTAAAATGAGTTACCCTGCCCATGGCTCAGCCTAATATACCCAATCCCTGAGTCGAGTAATGATAGGTTGTTCTCGTCAGGCTGTTCCTCAGGGCGTTTTCCATTTCATCCTCATCCGGGGGTTCAATAGAATTCAGGGAGTCTTCCTTTATTACCCCTACTTCAACAGGCACCGTTCCTCTGTTTAATGTGCCTTTGAACTCTTGCACCCATCTCTTTAGTCCGTCATCTTTGTGGCTTATAAGAGTTCCGTCTGTGTCTTTGCATGCCGTCACTCTGGGCCTGAAAGCTGCCCTACCCTCATTTATTCTCTAAAAGAACAGCCGGCTTTCATTTTGGCCGTGCAATGGCTCTGTGTCCTCCATGTTCTTATTTTCCCAAGTTCTTCTCTTTTTGTGGAATAATCTCTTCTCTTCCCGTCTTTTTCTTCTATATGTTTCTTGGGAGAGCCTTGTGGGACGCTTAACCTTCTTTCTGTAGGCTTCATTTTTCACTTTTACTGCTTGAAGGCACTCAGCATCAAACCATGGGGGCCTTCCAGATTTAGTCCCGTAGCCAAGAGATTCTTCTGCTGCCTGTTTGATTGCGTTGCTGCATCTCTTCCACTGTTCATCGACCACAGAGCTGTCATCAATGACTTCTTCATTAAGTTTAGCTACATCAATCTTCTTCTTTGGTCATTGGTGGTGGTTTTTAACCAGCGAAATTCGTGATTTCACCTCGGCAATGCTCAAATAGTGATCCGTGTCTATATTTGCACCTCTATAAGATCTTACATTTATCATGTTGGACTTGTGACGGGCACTAATGAGTACATAGTCTATCTGCGATGTTGTTTGCCCATTTGGGGAGATCCATGTTGCTTTGTGAATATTCTTTCGAGGAAAAAGAGTTCTTCCAACAACCAGTCCATGCAATGTAGCAAAGTTCACCATCCGGCGCCCATTATCATTACTGGTCTCTTGCAAGCTGTGGTTTCCTATAGTCGGCATGAATGCTACCTCCGTACCAACTTGGCCGTTCAAGTCACGAAGAATGATTTTAACATCATTTTTGGGACAGCTTTCTGTCACATGTCCAAGTTCTTCATAGAATGTTTCCTTATCCTCCTCAGGTGACACCTCTGTTGGGGCATGGCAGTTAATTAGAGAGAAATTAGTTCCAAAATCCAATTCTTAGGTCATTTAGGCGTTTCCTGGGTCTGTTACTGTAACTCAGTCTGGCTTCTTCTCTTTGAGGTTTCGTAATAAGGTACTTTAGGGAGAGTGGGTTATCAGCCCACTGCCCCCCGAGTCAGGTAGAGGGGCTGCCTCCTCCGAGCCCCCTGACTGGCTCCCCCTTCCGGGGCGACTACCTAGGGGAGGTGACCCTAGGGTGTGTACTGTAGGTAACCTTTGTCTGTAGTGTTTAAGTGTTGTAGTGTGCTGTATAAAGTGTACTTAGTGTGTGAGTGTTCGTGTAAGTGTTCCCTCAACCTGGAGGGCCAGTGGCTGGTTGCGGTACAATGACCGGGCGATGGGACCGCCACCTCCCTACGCCAAAAATTTCAATGCTCTCTAATATTGCTGATTTAAAACTTTTTGCCATAGCCTAATTTTTCTAAACAATAATTTCTATTAAAACTAGTGAAAATAGTGAAGCTTGTGTGATGCGAGCAAGAAATTTTCTTACTTTCACTTAGTTTTCTTTTTTCTCTCATTCACCCCTTTCTGACCCCAGATTATGAACTTGTAATCTTACAATGGAAATCGAATAGCTGTAACTTCATTAATAGTTGTCCGAAATGAACGATTTTTATATAGTTCTGTAGGGAATTTCATTACCTTTCATAAAAACTCAGAGGTTCTGAAACATATAGATCTGTCAAAGACCTGAGGCTCTGAAACATATAGATCCGTCGAAGACTGCATATCGGAAATTTGACCCGATCGTAATACTTTTCTTATCTAGTATAGGGAGGAAAGTAATAAATTAAAACATGTGTAGAAACTAGAATAAGTTGTATAATCGCTAATACTGGTTTGATTCCAATGATTTTTTTTTTTTGTTTTGTTGGTAATTAATTACCCTTCAAAAGTTTTATTATAAATTTTACCATAGAATATATACTTAGCCTGTTAGGTCCCAAAACATTTTTCTTTTCTTTAAAACTTTTTTTCTGAATTTTCTTTAGAATTTAGTCTATGTACGAAAATCGAAAGGACAATTATTAGAACATTACAGGAAAGTTTCATCAAAATCATCAGAGCCGTTTTTGCGCTAGTTTATAGAAAAACATGTTTTTCATTTATTTCACAGCCACTATTGCACTATTTATGGAGCACCCAATTTATGTCACAGGCATCAGTAGTCAAAACCCTACAAAATAAAAAAAGAAGCAACAAAATTGGTTCACTAGTTCCCGAGAAAATCTTGGCACAGACAGGCGGACTATTGCCTAAAAATGTGTTTTTCGAACTCAGAGGGCTCTGATTATTATTATATTTGTTGGCCGTAAGCACGTCGATCCCTACTGGGTCCATTGTGCGCCAATTTCAGTTAGTCGTTCAGAGGGCTCTGAAACGTATAGATCTGTGGAAAACCGCATATCGGAAATTTGACCCGATCGCAACCTAGTAAGGGTAGGAAAGTAAAAAGTATAATGAAAATTAATTCTTCAAAGTAATAAGTTACAGATTATTACTATCAAAATATTTGTTTGAGTAGTTTTGATTTTTTTTTTTTTTTTTTTGTCGAATACATGATTTACGTTTTTACACATTAATTTCTTCTTTATTTCAGCAATATTTCAAAATCTGTTGAAGACTGTTATCATAAACCAAAAAGAGCTTTGAAACTTAAAACAGAAATCTCAAACACTCTTACATTTTTTTATTTTGCTTATAAAGAAATTAAAACAGTGAGTATCATTTTGATTTACTATTGTATCCAAATAAAATCATTTAGTCTCTATTTTTATCATATCTATTTTTAACAAATCTTGTGTTTTCATTTGAATTTCAATATTTTTTCCATCTTGTGTATATAAACAAACTCTCATGTTTCTCTCATATTTTCAGAAAATTAGTAGGCTTACAGAAAATTATAAATTTGGCCAGGTTCATGTTATTATTTCTGTTTTTTTAAAATATTTATATTATTTTTGGTTTTTAAATCAAATTTTTTCATGTTTCAAATTCTTTTCTCATTACTTTATTACTTGAAAAAATAGATATATATGTGTTATTTCAATGGCAGTATTGCAGAACATTGAATTGAGTTTAAACGATTATGGATAATTCAATGTTATTGTGTTTTACACTGAAAATCTCTTTAGCTTCAAAGATTGAGAAGTAAGCAGGAATTATTTTTCAGCCCTTAGAGCACTTCTCATATCTGGAGAAAATGTCTGATCTTATGGCTATGTATGTGGATATGGAAATTAAAGCATCTAGGTATTGTTTTCTATTATTACTGAATTTCTTCAGAATCTTCTTTATATTTATTTTATTGTGAGATGTTTCAGTAATTTTTTTTTTTTTTCGGTTTAGATTATAACTTTTTATTCTCCTTCTTTTTTCCTTAAATTTACTCTGTGAAATATTTTTAATTACTTTTTATCTTTAAAGTTTCTTCAGTATGCTTTTTTTATTTTATCTGTCTAACTTCATTTCTAATTTTATTCAATTATATTAACCGTGTAACGTATCTCTTCTAGCTTGAGGTAGAGTTAGGTTTTTGTAACATCTTGGCTAGTGTGGTGTTCATCTTGATAATTACATGACATTCTACTTGGGCCATGGTGGTCATTATGTCTGCCACTTGAATATTTCATCTATGGGCTCAAATAGACCTGGGTATTCTTGGAATAATTTATTTCTGAAATAACTTAATGATTATTTCCCAAATAATGTTTATTCTTCAAATAATATTTCAAATATTGGTGGATGCCAAGAATTAATCTCTTTGAAATAACGACTACATTTATTTGTGAAATAATGATTTCGTTATTTTAACATTCATTGAAATCAATCAATTGATTTTAAAATGAGTTATTTCTGAAATTATTAATTAAAAAAAAAATTATTTTCGAAATAACTTTGTTCTGAAAAAATCCACCAATATCAAAAATATAATATAACACTACCCAAGCAACTTCTAATCTGCCTATGACAGTGACCAAACAATGCGTTTTTCTCCCAATACCTTCGTGTATCCAGCTCAAAGAAGCTGAGTGTGCCCGACCACCTCCATATTGATTTAGCTTCCACCGTCATATTTCTTTTCTGTGACCTGAATGGCTATGAGATTTTTATATTGGCTAACTCTTTAAGTGAGTAAAAACATTGTAGATGCTGAGTTTACCCAACCACCAATACGTTTTATTCCAGGGTCCCAACATGGCCATTACTTAACATGTCCATCTACCAGTTTCTATTAACTCTTTGGTTCACTTTTTATTGTAAATACACAGTCAAATATTTATAAATCATATATATACATGTGGCCTATCACACATTATTTCTACTGATTCTCCGAAGAATTACATAAAAAGCTGACTCTTTAAAAGGATTTTATTGTTCATTCTTCATTTAAAAAAATTGAAAATTAAATTATTCTTCATATAACAATATCGACTTTTTCCATAGAAAAAAAAGTATCTCAATTATAAAATAAAAAGAACTGACTTTGCAATAGAACAGATTTAAAAAGTTCAAAACACAAGTTGTCTGTTTTCAATAATTTTTTAGATAATTTCTTTATCTTTCAAATACATACACACATATAATTAACCAAAAAGTGTGTACTTTTTGGGTAGTAAAATTAACTTTTAGTTTTCTTGATTAACCCTTTGACTGCTGGAGCTCATTGAGTGTTTCTACCGGATGGCGGCAGAAAAAAACGGATTTTTTTTTTGTTCGCATAAATTTGTTTAAAATACTATTTCGAGTCACTGCAAGATCTCAGCCTTCAAAAATGCATTTTAACCTCTTTATTCAAATTTTAATAAACAGTACATATGTCTTCCTTGCCGCACATAGTAATGAAAAATTATAGTGGTAATCCCGCAACACTTCGCTTTCTTGCATATTTGCTCATTTCTGAAAAGCAAAACAACTGAACTTTTTATTGCACTTACATGTATTTCGAGTTTCAAACACTTTTATATTATATGAAATATATATATTGTTTTTAGGTGAATGGAAAAATTATAAAACAATTAAAGTATCATTTAAATTATGTATATTTTTACATTTATTAATTTTTACTATTACATTTTAATTTTTGTATATTTTTACATGTATTTGTTTATTATACAAAGATTCACGTGTACCAAAATCAGCATTCAGTGAAAACCTAAAGGTCGTGTAATACTTTTTTTTTTCAATAATATATTAATATATTATACAAGAATTTATGAATAATTTTTATATATATTTTTTTACATCATAAAAAACTATAAACAAATTAACTAATTAAAATAACTGTAATGATCGTTTTTATCATTTAATAAAGATTTTAGGATTTTTCTGAGGTATGTCTATTACTGGTACCGACTCCCTATCCATCACTAGAACAAATGAATTTCGGAATGTCCATCACTAGTAAAAAAGTGTTATTTTTAAATGAGATTATACCTGTAAGACTGAATATTTTTCAATTTTAAAGTGTTAAATAGAAAAAGGAGATTGTAGAAATTCTAAATGTCCAACGGAGAAGTTTTTAACTATAACAATTACGGCAGCATAAGCCAAAAAAGATAAAAAATTTCTTAGCTAGGTCCATCACTGGTGCGCTTACCCTAATGGATTTATTAAAATAATAAATATTTTAACAATATTTATATTTATTTATGATTTTTATATATTGATGAAATGTAAGTATTGTCCTGATCATCACTTTATCAAACAGCAGTGGATCAATTAATTACGAACAAGGATTTGTTTACATAAAAAAATTTTTTTTTATTAACTAAATTTACAACTGTAATTAATAATAATTCAACAAGTAAATATGAATAATTAATATGATATGTACAACATGAGGAGAAACTACCCATTGGTAGCACTCCATACATAAAAAAAATTTAAAGTTTCAATTAAATTTTTTACATGGATTTCATGTTAATATTTTTAAATATGTATAAATACTTTGTAAAACCGAAGGTGTTTTAAACTGCTATAAATGTAAAGTGTTAGAACCCTAAAACTGCCATAAACATAAAGCCCTAAGTCCCTCAGGTCCTAGAAAAGCAATATGGTAGTAGTGAATGTAAAATCAACATTGCGATAAAAACTGAGATTAAAGTATTTATCCAAACAGCTGTAAATATAAAGAATCAGGTCTGTCCAATTGCAAGAAAAGAAATGGAAGTATAAGAATAAAACCAATTGGCTTTCGGGCACAATGAGCTACTACAAAGATTATAGTGACTCAAACAGCAGTAAATATAAAGACTCGAGTCTGACTAATTGCTGAAGACGAAACTGTTGCATTAGGAAAAACTAAATTTAGAATAGATGACGGAAGTTAAATTATAGTTATTTCAATCCCTGTTTTATCTATTATTTCAAAAATAATCATTTTGACAGCCATTTTCACATTGTTAATGGAATTAATTATTTCCGAAATGATTGGGTGATGTAATTAGTGATCTATTCTGGGAATGTTATTTCAAATAAATTCTGTTCAGGTCTAAATATGATAAATAAAGTTAAATAAACTCTTTAGGAGAAATTATTATATATTTCGTGCCGAGAAGGATGGCTGGGTTGTTCAGTCAAATTGAAATGTTAAAAAATAAATTGTTTTATTTATTTTTACATTCACTGACGTTTCGCCCCTAAGTTCAGGCCTTCATCAGGGCTGCTGTGCAAGAAGTAAAGTCAGACAAATGCCATGTCTGACTTTACTTCTTGCACAGCAGCCCTGATGAAGGCCTGAACTTAGGGGCGAAACGTCAGTGAATGTAAAAATAAATAAAACAATTTATTTTTTAACATTTCAATTTGACTGAACAACCCAGCCATCCTTCTCTTCAATTATTCACTACAGTCAACCATAAACCCATAATCAAAATATGATAGTAGCCAAGATGTTAATTTGCCTTTCTCTAAAAATATTTCAAAATACCCTCAAGTTTTATGATTTATGTAATTTTAGCAGTACCTTGATTAGTCTGTCATAATTCCAGAAAATATGTCTATCAGTGAAATTTGATAAAGCAAAATTTTATTTAACTCTCTAAGCGAGTCAAGAACAGTTTTATTTCATCAAACATTTTCCAAAAAATCTTTATCTATAAAATAATAATCCTTTCTATTAAAAATTGATTTGTGATTAACATAGAGTTTTCCTGCTAGAAAAATGTTTAACCATGCAGTTTCAATTTTAATTTTAATTCATCCTCTATTATTATTTAATCCTATATTTAATTCATGATATAGGAATGGTATTGAGAGTGAAAGGAAAGTGGCTAGCATGATTACTTCATCATTAAAACTATACTTTGGTGAGATTTTTTGCTAAAGTAACATTTTTTCAATAAACCTTTTAAGTATCAAGTATTTCCTTGTAGTAATGCTTGTGAATCATGAATTTCAGGTAAATATCCAGAATATATCCTAGATTCTCTGTTGAAGACTAATCTCATTACTAAAAGATGCAGAGCACTTGGTGACCTCATATTTCGGTTTGTGAATGATAAATTAATTTTGAAAATAAATGATAATACTTCAGAGTTCTGGCTTCTTTACCACTGTGTGCCAAATTAGCAAAAGTTTTGGGCTTTGTTATTCCTTAAATATTCATGATCATGACCCATAACTTATTATTCCAAAAACCATTATTCGTGCTTTATGATAGTTATGATCACATAAATTTTCATTCACTGAAAATATAAGGACAAATATCCTACAGCTTATTGAACTAAAAAAAAAATAAGCTGTATCTTTCAGCAACCAAATGTGATATATTCCTGAGGAAAGGGGGCTAGAAATTTATTTTCTGAAGTATTGCCAAATCCAAAATTGATGATCATATTCTTTTCTACCTTAAAAGTATACAGGTTTTTGATGTGTGTATATTTTTTAATTAGAAGGGTGCTGAGGGATGTTCCAGAATCTTCATTAGATATTATTACATATGTTCGAAATATTCTTGCTTATAAAATGTGGAAGGAAATAATGCAAGGATCAAAATTTGAACAGCAGCAAATATCACAATTAGCGTGTATGAGACTGGGGACTCCTGTCAGATTAAAAGAAAAACTTGAATCTATTCATTCTCTTCGAGATTTATTTCCTATTTTGCCTAAGTCGAATGTCACAAATTTTTTAATGAAAGCTAAATTTTCAAGTCGAGAAAAATGTAAGGTAAAATTTTTTATTCATAGTGTAATTAAATGGAATTAATTAGTAAATATTAATTAATTTGGGTTTAAATATTATTTATCTTTGTTTTAGATATTTTACAAAGCTGTTGCCAGTCCAATAGTATTAGCTGCTTTGAATGATACTAACTATCCTATTACAAATGATTCTGACTCATTCTTTTGTGAAAAGGTATTTTGATTTTTTAAATATATTTATTATTATTATTTTATGTTTTTAGTTGCTAATATTATTTATTAAAATGCTTAAATTAAATGTGCAGGGTTAGAATTTAATTGTTTTTATTTTTGTTCATAATATACTCATGACATGAAAGTTAACTATCATATGTGTAGATGATTTATCCTGTGATAATTGAAGAAGGAAATGGTACAGGAATCAATCAGAAAAAAACATAAAATAATTGCTAATTATTTATTCAGTTTCAATGTTTCAAACATTGTAAGTTTTCATTAAGACTAAATAGAAAGTTACAAAAAAAATCCGGTGTGATGGGCGCATCACACAACTTTCACTTACCACCTTCTTCTTGGCAGAAATAATTATTTTCAGACAAAGGGAAAGTGAAAGTAAAAATTACAGACAATATATTTATTTATATTTAATTGTGGGTATTTTTATTTGTATAAGTACCCTTATATATACAAATTTTAATATTTATGTCGCTGTAAGCTATATAGTTAAATATTAAATAATCCCAACAATAGCATTTATAAAAACCGCATCTGTATATTTAAAAGAAATTGTTGCAGTCCGTTTTATATTAAGCTCATGTTATGTAAGGAAGCCTGTTCTAATCTATCGGATGAGCTAGGACGCACTCGTATTGCTTTGTTTCCTCAATTAAAGCTATTCTCCATTACGATATCTTATCTCCTTTAGTTAATTATCAAATTTTTTCATATCTAATATTTAACTACCTTTTATATTAGAGATCAATGTAAAATGGACAATTGTTTCAAATAAAAAAATTAAAGTTACTTTAGAGGAAGCTAATATTGAAAATTAGCCATTTAAGCCCTATTAGAGAACATCAATCGGAATAAAACCTAAGCTGATTAGGCAGAACTTTATTTTTCAGCAAGATGACAGTAAAAAAATATAATATTTTTCCATTTCTGAAATAAAAATAACATTAAATAAAAAATAAAAATAAATTATGAAATATGAAATGTTAAATTAAATTATCAAAAAACAAAGAATTTCAATATTAGAACAATTTTAACAGATGCACTCAGCTTTCTAGTTTTTATACAAATGCTCTTGATGTTAACAATAAAGTGTTTAGACTGAAGTAGTCTCATTGCAAAATTGTCTGTATGAGTGTGAACAGTCTAGTTAAAAAGCGAAAGTCTTAAGAAACTGGAATTAAGGTAGGTTTATGACGGGGACGGTACAGCAACTTTTTCTAAACAGAGTGGGAAGGTCAAGATTCATTCTGTGGGTCTATCACAGAACAACTTTCAACCCATTCAGAACAGAATTCGAACTAAACAGGCAACACTTGGCCAACATGGCCTGATTGGTTTCATGCAGTTTGAATTTGTCATAAGAGTAGTTTGGCTGTTTCTCAACTGATCACAGAAATAGTTCCTCATGTGCAGTAACAAAGGTGTCATAAATCACCATTAATCTCATTTTACCCAAACTTTCAGTTAGAACCTTATCAAACTAAGGAGTGGTTTGTCTTCTGTGATTTTCAAATTAAATAAATAAAGGTAGCAATCCAAACGAATATGTTTAATTGAAAATGAATAGCCAGTTACATAGATTTTTAGAAATCAATAACATTTATTATTATGAAGACCTGCCATGTTTAATGTAGTACTTCACAATAATAATAATAATTACTCCATAATTTTCAGTTATTCTTTGAGCCACTTCTGTTAACCTTGAAGTTATTCCCAAGAACATCCCAACGGTAAAATCCTACATCAACTACAAATACACTTCATTTCATTCTTCAACTCATAATCACTTCAATCCATTAGTCCTTTCTATTTCTTGCTCCCTGTTATCTGATCAATGCAGGTTAAAAAGAAAATGGCTGAGGAATCTACTCCTACAATAATAATAAAATGAAAGCTAATCAAGCAAATTTGCAGCTAAATGCCTAGTACATCAAATTTATTAGTTGTGTTCCAGCACAGGTGCAAATGGCATAGAATTTTAAATTAAAAAAAAAAAATAGTTTTTCATTTTCCTAGTTACAATAAAATAGATTCAATTTTTGTTAAAGTTAGTGGATGGTTATCTGTTATAAATCCCATCAACTTTAATTTCAGTTTATGAAGCCTTAACTGTTGTTCTGTTTATCAATCAAAACCATTTTATTTATGTTTGATATTGTAAGTTTTTGTGATAGTTTAGAAGAAAGCATTTAAGGAAAACACAAGAACATAATAGCTCTTAATATAAGCTACTTTAGTTACTTTTAAAATTCCATTAGTTGCTTTAAATTTTTATTTAATTACGTGTTTAATTAAGTGACATTATTTATTATCTCCTTTATTTTATGTTTGTGTTTTAGGACAGTAGCAAAGTTGATCTGCTTCTGAACAATTTATGGAAAAGTTTGAATGGCAACAGAGATGTCAATAGTTGTACAATCAGAAATATAGCCATGAATACTTCAGATGAATTATTGAGAAATTCAAATTTTAAACGGAAGATAGAAGATATAAATAATGACATTAAATCAGAACCAAAGAAAAAATCAACTGAGAATTCAGCTGGAGAAGATAAACATTCTATCAAGTTAGAGACTGATGATGTATTAACTCGCCTATCACACGAAAGTCTTTGTCAATATGAACACTCAATGGAAGACTTTTTTCATGCTGAAGAAGAACATAAAGATATATTGAGTTGGAAATCTGACTTGGACATAAAGAAGGAAAAAGAAAATTATATTATGAAGGAAGATAAATCAGAGGACTTTGATACCTCTGAATGTTGTACGAATTCTGACCTTGAAGATGATATTATCGGTTCTTCAAATGAATGTTTATTTGATCTTAAAGAAGATTTAAGTGTTGTTGAAGGTGAGAAAGGGAATGACGGTGAACATTCTTCCAGTCTACCTCTTAAAAAGAGAAGAGGGTTTCCGTATAATAAATATGTTAAAAATGATAAAACTGATATGACAGAAATGATTAGTGGTGAGCAGGAAGAGAGAAAGATGATTTTCAAGACCCCTGCCCAATTGAAAGCATTTAATAATTCCTTTAATGAATCAACTGATCTAATTAACTTAGCTCTCGGATCCCGTATGTATTTCAAACAAAAATCTGTTATTCTTAGTATTGATAGTTTGCTTGTTATGAAAATTTTATATTTGAAAAATCTCAAAAAAAAAAAAAGAAGAGCCTAAATCATTTGAAGTGTTCAAATAATTTATTCATTCAATTAGTGGTTTAAAAACCATCATGACTATGTCATAATAACAAAATTAAAAGTGAAATTTCTAAATATAATATCAATTTCAATCCATTAAAGTTTAGGAGGAAATTTAATTGAAAAAAGAATCGCACAATCAAGACAAAATTGACTGCAAAATTGAAAACTGATGTATCAAATAATTATTTCTCTCTCATTCAGCTAACTTTAACTCCAAATGATTAATTTTGCTGAAATTAATTTCTAATGTGATTTAAATCCCTACTAGAGATTGATATTTGTTATATAAGTTCGCAATGTCATATTTTTTCTCTTACATTCTGTCTGTTTAATGAAGTCAAACTTTTGCTATCTTTAAATTAACTTAGTAACAATATTTTTTTTTACTTCCATCTTGTCTTTAATTTTATTTTGGCTTATTTATTCTTTGCATAATGGAAAAGCATGATACGTTTATATTTTATTTAATTCAAATGCATCTCAAGATTTTACAATTAATTATAGTTTTAAAAGGTTTCATTTCTATCCATTATTTTTAATTTTGGTGTTTTAAATTATGTTGTGTTTAAGAAAAGATCATCAGATCACCAATTTTTGTTCTTTATTTTGACAGCTTCATCTATCCTCTTCAGTTGTATTCCCTGATAAATTTCGCTGAAATATTGGTTAACATTTAATGAAACACTGCTATTGTATATTTTATTTTGACTGTCTCAAACATCATTACTTTGTTTTTCAAAGGATATGTCATCGATAATGATTATTGATCTTATAGCGTTATGAAGTTAAATTTTTTATTAATTTATAAACACCCAGGCACTTTATTTATCCTTGAAATAATCCAAGTATGCCTCAAAGAAAGAAGAAGTGGGAAGAATGAATGAAGATATGAAAATTTAATTCAATTGGATATTTGTTCTTAAATTTTTTAAAGTATTGTAAAATTTAAATGTTAAAGGCTTTTGAAATATTTCTGTGTTCGTATTTTTTTTAGTCAGTTATTTTTTTACATTCCTATGGTTTTTGAACTTATAATTTCTAAATTTTCATTGATATGGATAATTTGAATTTTTTTTATTATATTTTGGCAAAATGTCAAAATTTTATAGAGTTTAATATAATTTTAATGCAATAAATAAAATATTTTATTTTTCTGCAATATAATTAACCACAGAAATCTAAGTGGATATCACCTGCTTAATAATAGATTATTATGGATTCACTGTGGACACTACTGTGTTTTACAGGTAAGATTAATAAAAAGTTCAATTCAAAGAATACCTCTCGTATTTTATTTTTGATTGTTGAATAGTGTCTTCCCCTGAATTAATTATCTGAACATCATGCAGTATGTTTATAATATGTCTGTTAATTTATTCTCTTATAAATTTCTTAGTCAAATGTATATAAATTTATTTTCACTGGGTATTTTAAGGTATTTTCAAGTTTTTTATTTGTTCTTAGATAAAACCCTTTGTTTCATGGACTTGTTAAATCTATATGTAGAAGTGGTATAAAGCCATCCCGTTTAGGATTTACATTGAAAAATTCAATATTTTCTGTTAATTGGCTGGTAACTGACTGCTATGATATATTTTTTATAACTTTTCATGACCATGACAGTTTCATCAGCATCACAGTTTGTCCAATCAATAATGATTTTTTTTTTTTTTCCTGGAACTGCTATCAACAATTCACTTAATGTTGTAATTTTGTTTTACATGTTCACTCCAGCTCATACCAAGACTGCCTCATCAGGCAGCCCATACCACCAATGATTCGCATTTGATTGTGCTATCAGATGGTGCATAACACCAAAAATTTAGATTGTTAAGTTACTAGAAACAAAATCATATAATTAAAATTTTAAATAATGAAAATTCTATTTAGATTAATTGAAAATATTTAAGTTTAATTTCAATCATAATTAATAATGTATTATAAACAACAATGCAATATTACAAGTATGACTAAAATAAATTTTTATTGTACTCTTTAATTTGGGCCCGTTCCGATAGAGGGAAAAGCTTTAAGTGTAGCTGCCCTTGGGAGAAAACATAAAATTCAGGGGCATGAAGGTGGTAACCCCTATTCCACTCTTGGGGAAAGAATAATAAAAAAATATATGGTTTTATTAGTTTTAATCTGGCTGAAATTTCATAAATACTATCCAGGAATTTGAAATCTTTCTAAAAAGTACTAAGGTCATATTCTTCATCGATTTTTTTTTCAGTAAGTTAGACCTTTAAATTTTGAGTTTGCTAAGTCCAGATCTAGGAAAATCTGAAGAATAAAGTGCTTTTAATACACCAATTTTGAAATATGATTTTATTCAATAATTCTCTTGTTTGGTTTTAATAATTTAAAGGCAAATTTTCTGTACTGGTTTTTCTTTAAATGGACGAGTTTTTTTTTTGCTTTTCCGCTTTTTGAAGAAAGTATCTATGTGTTTTTTAAACAAATTTGAGTTGTATTAAAAGTATTTAGTATAAAATAAAAAAAATAATTAGGTTCAGTTTAAAAATCTATTATCTCAGTCAATGAATTTTAGAATCATTTAACAATTTTTTTTTTACTTTCCTACCACCAGGTTGTTGCCCCCTGAGTTCAAAAAAAGGCATTTTTAGTAACTGGTTTGTCTGTCTGTGCTGCAAATATCTGTCGAAAAGGTGTTCATTTTTGTTTTGTAAGATTTCAATCACTGATGCCTGTGAATAAACTGGACACCCTCTATGAAATAGGGATTGTGCAACAAGAGAACGTATTTTCCATAAACCAAAATGGTTTATTTTCCTAAAAATTAATTTTAGTAAACATGCCCATAGTCTTCTACTCAAAGTTCTTTTAATTTTCACATCAAGTATAAAATTTCCTGATAAAAATAAGGGAAAAAAAGTTATAAAGAAAAGAAAAAAAATTTTGGGCATACACATTTTTTTTATATTTCATAGTAAACTTTATGTATAATCTTTTTAAAGGTTATTAAATTCCACAAATCAGATCAGTATTAGTAGTTACAGCATATTAAATTTCAATTACCTTATTGCATAATATTTTTAAACTGCCCCCAAAATTCTACGTAATAGCATTCTTTCAAAGACAATTATTGCTAATAGCTAACGGAAATATAGTGATGAATTAGAAACTTGTAGGTAGTATAATAAACCCTTTAGTTGAACGGAGCCTAAATCAATGTCTGATCCATTGTGCGGGGAGGGGTGAGGGGGTTACTGAAGGTCTGACCAATCGCGTGTGTGCGGGATTTATTCACTGAATTTCTCCTGTATTTTTGTACTTTTCAGATTAAAATATGCTCTTTCTTTATATCTGACTTATACATTTTTCTTTAATATGATGTTAGCTCATATTTTAATAAACAGTTAAATATTTCTTTTTTTAATTTTAAACTTTCTTCTAATTTTATAATTTATTAATTGTTTTACATTATACTGTAACATTTACATTATTTTTTGATATATTCTAAAAAATTGTTTGGTACATATAGTGTCATTAGTTTTTTATTCTTCATTTGAAATTTTTTTTATTAACCAATTTCTGATAGTTTGATTTTGAAAATTTTTAAAAACTTATCATTGTATGATAAATTTTATTATACATACTTCAATTTAAATATATATATACTTTTGAAGGAAAAAAAAAATTTTTTTTTTCATTATGTTAAAACTTTTTTTCACTTTTGCACTTTAAAACAATACCGAATGCTGTTATTTTTAGAGCTAAATTGTGTTCAATAGAATAGGAGTTAGAAGCAGGTATACGAAGGGTTGGAGGTCAGTCCCCCTCACATTAAAGGATATCCATAACTAAATAATACATCTCACACTATCTAGTGGTTCCAGCAATAACCTATGACTCTTGAGGCACCCCGTAGGGAGCTCTTTAACGATCCTGAGTATTGGTTTTGCAACTAAACGATAAAATATATAAATATAAATATATTGGCTCTGCGCACCAGGGGCGTGGTCTTTCTAGAGCCGCTGGATTGGTATTTCACACTGGTGTCACGGCCGAACCATGGAAAGTGGGATTGATTTCTAATTTATTGGCAATAAAAGGTTTTTGAAAATTAAAGTGTAATGTAAGGTTAAGCATTTGGTTAACCTAATACCAATCCTTATAAGAAATGTGGGTTCTGTCGTATAATCTCTCAAGATATTAATTCATTTTTGTATTGGAAGTTTTTGCTGTTATTTTGTGGTGTGAAGGATAACTTTAAAAAATTCATTGCCAAATAAAAAAAAATACTGTCAATACTTTTCTAAAATATTTCAACTGCTTCTAAAACAGATCATTTTCATACATGAATACTTTGTAGTTGTGCAAGACATTGTATGTAATGTGACTATATTTGTGCAAAATATACCCTACCGTTTGCCAGCTATGCTTCTATATTATCAAAACATCTAGTTTTTGTCAAGCCAATTATTACAATCTACTGTTCTGATATACTCAAGTATTAAAATGTGACTGGTGTTCAAATAATTGAAATAAATTATATCATATAATTTCAAATTTTGCAGTTCTTATCTTTTCTACGTAACACAGCCATTTGTCCAGATGTGATAAATGTTGGAATAATTTCTAATGTATATCTATCTATCTATCTATATATATTTTTTTTTTTTTTTTTTTTTTAACTTGGTTTTATTATTTTCACAGATTCCATTTACTCTGATCAGAATGATCTTTCCTATCCAGTAAGAAGAGAAGCAGATTCTGTATCTGAAAATTCCTCTCAACCCGTGGTCAAAAAGAAAGCTAAGCCTTCATCTAGAAGAGGAAGAAGAAAAGGTCGAGGGAGATCCAAAAAAAAGAACTTATGTCAGCAGGTTGAAGAATGTGAGTTAATTATATTTTAAATTTGTTACTAAAATTTTAATATATATTACTTACTCATTACTTAATTACATGTTATCCCATGCTTATTTAATATTAAAAATTATAGCATCCAACTAAAATGCTGTCCAATGATTAATGATTTCCTTTTAGACATCATGTTGTTATTAGTTTGAAATCATTAACAACTATAAGTGAACTTCAGAATCTTCTTGTAGATATGTAATGATTTTTTAAGTCAACTGTTGAATAGATTTTCAAATTTTATTGTTCAATTTATTAGTTGTATTTCAGATATAGAACGCACCCATCTACTACACCTATTTTAAATATTAATTTCTAGCCTTATTGAGACCTGTGATGTAGATTAAAAATAAGGCAGTGCCATTAAGTACTTATTTTGTTCACCAGCATTTAATCAATATCTGCCTGATTATAAGAATTTTTTTGTTGAAAAATTCTTTCATTGGGGTATATTTCTACTTGGTTATGCCACTTAACATATGATAATAAATTGTTTTAAATTAAATCTCTCTATAATTTTTACTTCCACTTTTCTATGCATGAAAATACCTATTTCCAGCCAAACTTGGGTGCTAAGTGAAAGTTGTGTAATGCGAGATTTTTTTTTTTTTTTTTTTGTTTTAGATTACTAAGATACATTGAAAACAATTAAACCAAAAATAAAGTGTTTCTATAAAAATATTGAGTAAAGTTAGCTGCCAATAAATATATCAGTCTTGGAACACATGTTATACTTAAATTACTAATCCTGAAAAAATTAAAACCAATTGTAAATAATGCTAGGTTGTTACAAAAGTCCTTATGCTTAAGTACTACTTTATTGTTTATTAAATATTTTAAATATTATTGAATAATACTCTTTAAAGTAAAGTCCATTGTTTTCTACGAGTAATTGGATTTGATGCCAATACCACTCCTTTGGTTTTGAGGCAAAGATCCGACCTTTTAAAAAATAAGTCATTGATCTAAATAAATCATAACCTGATAGTGCAATACCTGGACTATATGCAATATAAGGCAAAATGTTTATTGCTTATAGTTTTAATAATATTTCCTTCGCCAAAGAAGAACAATGTGCAGGGACATAGTCGTGTTGAAACTGGCCTGGTTCCTATTGACCAAAGCAGGATACTTTGCATTCAAAACTGCATAAACTCCTGTCTAACTGTTCATAGTAAAGGTTTGATTCCACTGATCAACCATCAAGAACAAGCTCAAAATGCAAAGCGTCTTCAAAGTTCCACCAAACACAAAGAATCACTTGTTTTCCAACCCAATGTTGGTGACCTCCGCTTGTGCAGCTTCACCTGGTTGCTGGTTCACCTTGTGCAGCTTCACCTGGTTGCTATGTTTGCTAGAATTTCTTCAAAAATATCCACTTTTTCTTGGTTGTGATAATGTTTTACTCTATATGTACAAAAAAAAAAAATAAAATAAACAAATAACAACTAAATAATAATAAAAATCTACATATAATAAATAAAATAAAATATCTTAAAGATAGGTAAATTAAAAAGAACAAAAAACACATACATACCGTTATAAACTATTTAAAATAATTCAAGGGAACTCTGAGGCAGGCTTGTCCCTCCAACTATGGAGGAAAAGCAGGACTATAGGAGCTCCCTGCCCTATTCTCTCAGCCGTGTCTCTCTCAAACTCACTTTCACTACTCAGGAGATTGATTGAGAGCACCTTAGCCTCATACACTCGTGTCTTGAGTGGAAAATCTGGTCATTGCCAGAACTCCAATATATACAAACTACATAATGATCGCAGGGCCACTGTCGTTTTAAACTTCATGGTGACGTTTTAATAGTCATGGTGTAAGTTTTGTTGGTTACATAGAAAGGAACATCGACTAGTGTTTTAAAGACTTTAGATTAAAGGATTGGATGGGTTTGATGTTAAAAAATTTTGCTGTCCCCCACAGTTCTAGTTTGCAAGTCCAAATAGGTTTCAGGATTATCTTGTGGATCAGTAATTAGTTTTCGATTGAAAGTTTAGATTTTAGGTTTGCGTGTTTAGTAGTCTGTGTAGTTGTCCGTATCATTGGTTGAGTATCTGCCTTTTAAGTCTAATATGAGGGTTCTACGTTAGTCATCTGTCTAAAAGAAAACCAAGATGCCATATGTGGAATTTAGGCTTAAAGGGCAATCAGGCATGCTATACTCAGTCAAAAACCTGCGGTATGTTCAGAAATGCGCATGAACAACACAAACTTTTCTAGGGCTGAAGATATATGGTCAACAACTCGGAGTCCTTGTTGGACAGTAGAATGTTGGGAACGAAATCCAAATTGATTGGTAGAAACGTTTTGGGATTTTGTTATGCGTAGGATTCTTTTCAGTAGAATCTTTTCAAAAATATTTTAAAGGATTTGGAGTAGGCTAATTGGTCTATAGGATGATGTAATTTTTGTAAGGGTTGCCTGTTTTCAGGAAAAGGATGATAGTCGAATATTTCCATAAGTGAGGGAAGTGGGTTGTTCTTAAGATGCAATTATAAATATATGTAAGGAATAAGATAGCTTTGGAGGAAAATTGATGAAGGATCTGTGGGGTCAAGAGGTCATATCCAGGAGATTTACAAGGATTGTTTTCATGCAAAAGGTATGTGACCTCAGAAGGAGTAACTTTAGGTGGTAAGGAGAGTGGGATTGGTGAAGAGAGGAATTTGTCTACTTTTGCAGTGTGGGTGGGATGGGATTCTGGATGAGGAGTGAATGTACTGGAGAGGTTTCTGTCTAATTCCTCACCTTTGTCTCATCAGATGCTGCCCAGGAGCCATCACATTGTCGGAGGGAATGGGAAATATGATGGGATTTTAGAATTTTTTTGTGGTATTCCAGATGGAATTGTCATGAACAGAGAGGGTAGTAAGGTAGGAATTAAAGGATTGTAATATGAAAGATGACAATTCATACTTTAATAGTTTACAGTAATAATTGTAGGAGCAGCGATCGGTGGTATGTTTGGTACATTGCCATAATAATCTGGCAAAGCGTTTGGTGTTGATTAGGACTAAGACGTATTGCGGTTAAAATCAGTGGTCCAATAAATAGGTGAGTTGGGAGAAAAGAGACTGAAACGTTGGAAATTGAGTGAAGACAGCAATGTTCTACCACAAGAGGTATAGGAGAATGAAAAATTAAAGTTCACCATTCTAGAATTCTCTTTTTGGTCTGGTTGTCTCATCTTGGATCCGGGTCTTCTGGTATCTGGTTTTGAGGTTCATGTAGATATGGCAACCCTTAATTTGGCCGGATCTCCCTCCAGGCATGGGGTACAAACTGCTAGAACTTGAATGGTTTCATGCAATGTGGGGAGTGCAGCATTAAGTCTTCGTGTTGCTGTAAGCCTAACAATTGTGGACTGCATGATTTCTCTCTTGGGATATGGCTATTCTATTTTCACGCTTGTGTAGGTTGTTCATATATATATAAGTAGAATAGACAAGAGCCAATGTTCGGTTAGAAGTGTTTCAAAAATTAATCACAGTCCCATAGCTTATTGGATATTTTTAACATTAATTTAGGAGTGTTCCTTACAATGCACTAATATTAAACATTTAAATACATACATTAAATTTCATTGGAAGTCCAGATTAATTACTGATTTATTTCTCATTTCTCTTTTTTGATTTTTTATTTATTATTATTTTTTTTTTTTTACAGCAAACAGGTTACTTGATGAATTGACCACCACTGCTGGCTTGTATGTATTTATTTTTTTAATACTATAGTTTTTTTTTTTTTTATGATATTTATTTTTAAAATCTACTTTATGATGGTATTGAATAAATTTAGAGAATCAAAAATTCAATATCATATTGGACTGTCCTAATGGAATTCAATTCATTTAGGGTGTTGATTATATAGATATCAACATTTTTTTTTTTTTTTGTCCTCTCCTTCCTCGCCTTTCAGGCTATACGGAGTTTTCTCGGGCCGTGGGAGGGAGAGGAGAGGGAATTTATATGCGTAGTATATATGTGTCTGGGAATATTTTAGTTCCAAAACAAAAAGTTGTACAGAACTAAAATTGCGTATTTAAGATAATTATATGCCTGGGGTGTTACAGAAACTTTTTCCTCAAAATCGATTGACCAGAACTATCTCTTTAGGACTCATCACGATTTTGATTAAACTCTTTAGGTCTATATATTGTAAAGCGGTTTTTAATTTAAGGTAGTTTTTATCATCATCAATGCAGCCTAACAGGACTTAGATAGCAAATTTTCAAAATTTCTTCCTCTGATTTTGTTTATTTGAAATACTTAACCACTTCACATTATAACCTGGAATAAAAAAAATTTAAAAATGGTAAATATAAACTATAAAATAAAATAAAAATATTTAAAAAAAAAAGAAACCTGTATGCACACCCGACCTTGGCCGAAAAGGCGTCTAAACGTAACACTTTCTTAATATAATATTGGCTCCAATAATAATAGGATGTATTAAAAAAAATGAAAGTTTTATCAAATTCTAGATTTCAAAGAACTGTAAATATTTTAATCATATTTAATACTTACCACCAATACTTAATAATCCCTTAAGAGTGTTCTCTAAGCTTATTTAATCCCATTTGACTTTTAAAAAAACCGTCAGTTTAGTTATTTACACTCAGTGTCAAAATGTTAGACACACTTTAAAAATTGTTATCTCTACCCTCCCATCTTTTCAAATTACCTGTAAAACAGTATTAAAATAACCTATCACTCACCCAAAGTTAATGAGCAGCCTGCTTGTATTTTGGTTCTGAAGCCAAAAATTATACATTTTTTTTTATTTTTCAAATTAAAGTTAAAAAGTTAAAGGGCCTTCAAAATCTTTGACAGGCTCCCTGGTAAAAATAAATAAAACTCATTTAATACTTTGGTTTACATAATAATAATATTTACATCCCTCCTCTCCACCCCCACCCTGACTACACGCTCATTGCTTTGATTTACCTCTTCGCAGTCAGGTGGGTTTTCTTTTTCTTTTTCTTTCTTATTCTCTTTCTTATTTCAGCCTTCTCATTTTCTTTCCTACTTTCTTTCACCCCTCTGCTCTGTATTATATTATACGTTGTCTATACATCTTGATATACTTTACAACATCTCAATTCTCTATCTAACTAATCTATTCACAATATCTTAATTTTACTGTTTATTTCCATTTCTTATATAACTTCATATTTTTCTGTTTTTACATTTTATTCTAAGATTCCCTTTTTAAAACTTATGTCACCTTTTTTCATTATATTTACTTCATCATTCCACACTTTGTACCGCTTATTATCATTTATCTCTTTGTTCTTACTATTGTCATTATTCTAACAACTGAATTTTACTTTAATCTTTTTACCTACACTACTTATGTTTCTCATACCTTGTTATCTGATTCTTTTCTTAGCCCTGATGATGGCCTGAACTTCAGGTCGAAACGTCGGCTAATGTCAAAATAAATAGTATCATTTATTTTTGCCTTCTTATTTGACTGATCACCCCAACTATTCTCTTCATTATTCACGACAGTCAACCATTCACCAATTATGTATCATTTAATACTTAGTTGCCTTTCTACCACCATTTATTAATTCAAAAATTCTATTTGGTAGTGAATTGTACAATTGTTTGATTGTTTCAAGAGGTAATTGTTCCCATGAAGCCAGAATTGCAGATTTCAAATCCTCGATTGTTCCGAACTTTCTTGAAAGAGTTCCCCAAACATTTTCGATAATGTTCAGGTCTGGGGAGGCAGCAGGCCAGTCTAATTTGGCAATTTTGTTGTGAGTAAACCAGTCTTTAATCATTTTTGCTGAATGTATTGGAGCATTGCCGGAAAACTGGTGTGCTGCCTTCAGACATGTCATTAAAAGTCAACTTTTCTTCCTCTAACAAATTTTTATATTCAGCTGAGTTTAGTCTTGATGAAACAAATACCGAATTTCCTTTCTTTTTGTAACTAATTGATGCCCAAAGCATCACTTTTCCTTCTCCCATTTGACGTCTTGATGAAATTTTTCTTTTGTTCTGAAGTCATGAAAATAATAGAAAAATCCATCTGGCCCATCCAGATTGAAGTTTTTTTCATAACTAAAGATGACATTCTTCCACTCCTTAGTCCATGACATTACATTACAAGCAAAGGCCATCCGGACTAATTTGTGACGCGTACTCAAAATTGTCTTTCTTCTCAATTTTTTTCTAACTATTGTTTTTGAGTTGTTTAATAATCTTTGGACATTCCTTAGTTTTGTTTGAACTGCAGCTTCCTCAGCAATTGCTCTTGCTCTTTTACTTACAAGAGTTGGATGTGATTCGAAGAATATTCCGTTTCTCTTGTAATGTAAAAGAAGGAGGCTTCCCAATAGAATGGTGTATTCCATATTTTCCCCGTGTCGAACAAACTTCGCGACTGATGAAAAACTCTGCCTGATTTGGCGGATTATTTCCCTGCAACTCATCCCTTCCTTGTGGAGTGACAAAATCAAACGCCGCTACTCTTCTTTGGAGAAACAATTATTTTTTTCCATAACTCACGTTCTTTTTAGGTCTATTTTGAAACAGATTCAACATTGAAGTAGAAATGGTATTTTAACGATTTCAACTCTAGAGGACTAAGAAAATAGTAAACAAGTCTGTCTATCATTTTGAGGCATATAAAATGTCAATATTTACTGATATTGGATTTAAATAATCCTCAAGGTCTGAGAAGATTGTCCCCATTTCAATATCATCATTTATACCTTAAACTGTGCTTAATAACAAAATAATATCAATCAGAAATAAAGAAAACATGAAAACTTTTTTTAATTTCAATGGGTGTGTCTAACATTTTGACACTGAATGTATTTCAAAGAAGAAACATGACAGTGCCCTACAAAATTCTCGTAATTTTAAGGCATTACTGGAAAAAAAATTTCAAAGCCACTGAATCAACTCATGAAATTATGAAATATGAAAGGGGAGGTGTCCTTGACCAGTGCATTGCACGGCATTGGTTTGAAAAATTTAGATACAACATTGGAAAGTAAGAAGGACTCCAGGCGACCATTAATGGACATTGATGAGGTTCTGCAGGAAGCTGTTGAGTCAAATCTGTCCACAAGTACTCGCAAACTTGCCAGGAAGTGTGGTGTGTCAAAATATAACGTTAGTCGCCATCTACTCTCCATGGGGAGAGTGAAAAAGAGTAGTAGACTGAAAAACTCCTGCCTCATCCACCATATAGTTCAGACCTCGCATCATCGGATTACTCGCCCATTTTCTTCAAGCGAAAAAATTTGATAATTTTGCGGAAGTTGAAATTGTGATCCAGGAGTTCTTTGACAGCCATCATAAAGAATGGTACCAGCATGGGATGGAGCAATTGGCTAGGAGATGGCTAATGACGGTAGATAACAATGGACTATACTTTGAGTATTAATTGTATTTTATATCAAAGTAATAAGAATAAAAATATTTGGTTGAAAAATGGTCATTTTTTTTTATACCTTCTATTATTTTATAAATGTACACTTGTGGTTTTCATACATGATAACCTGTACCATTACAACCCATAAATAAATAATTAAACTATTCAGTCGTAAAAATAAATGGTTAGTGACAGAAAAAGAATAAATAAATAAAGCGATAGGTGGCTGTGAAAAACATGGTAAAATTGTTTTCGATAATATGTTGTACCATCTGTAATTTTGACTTTCATCTCGCTTTGTCTGAACATACCTATTTCTGCTAAAAGAAGGGTGGTAAGTGAAAATTTTGTAATACATGTAACAGGCAAGATTTTTTTGTATGAAATCGGAATTGGTTTCATTTTCTAAATTTAAAAAGTATAACAGAATTTGAAAAACACTAAATTTCGTTTCACATATGTCTTTTACAGAGAAGCTGCAGTTTGACAACTATTTAACATTCATTTTAATTGTTTATTTGTCACTAAGTTTAATGATAAAAATTAATCTTTTAATTTTTGTTCACTGTTTTTGTAGTAGGTATCGGTATCTAAAGATTCCAAACTTCATTACATGAATATATAACTTGATTCTATTCAGTAAATTATATTTATAATAGATAAATATTTCATTCTGTTTAGATCTATTGACATCATGGTGTATTTTATTCTGTTACAGCTTCAAGTAAAAGAAGAGATAATATGTAGCAGATATGTTGTTTTCATTTTTTAGTGTATATTATATAAAAAAATTCTGTGTGAATTTTTATTTATGTTTTAAATAATTATTTTATGAGAAATAATTATCTTTGATTTTTATTTGCTGGCATCGTGCTTAGGATAATTATTTGTGCTAATGATTTTTATACTTTTAATACTTGTGAATATTATAGAATCACCATTCTTTACTTTCCTTACCACCTCGATGGACAAATAGGCTGACTTAAAAATGTAAATATATTATTGCATTTTAAAAATATACCTTAATTTGCACTGGGTCAAATATTCTGTATCTGGTTTTCAACTAATCTTAACATTTCAGAACACCTTGAGCCAGAAAAAGGCATTTTCAGCTATTTGTCTGTTTGCCCAGCTTAAACCTTTAACAGATTGCTCCAATTCTCTAGCTTTTTGGGAGAAGGGAGGGGTATTAAGATGTATAAGGTGAAGACTTCCCATGGCTTGATACAGCAAATACAGCATTTTTGACTTATTTTTAGTTTTTGAATAAAGATTTTAAAAACACCTTTCGAGGCTAAGGTACATAAAACAGGATCTGTCGATATAGTCCTATATATTTCTGTTATACAGAATTTGATTAGCCATACGTCATGTTCTTTATGACATTGATAATGCAATAAATATTAATACATTGGCATCAGTCTTCGAGCTGAAATAACATGTTTTATGTGACTGAGCCTTAAGAGTTGTTTTTAATTTTTGTTTAAATGGTGTTTGAATTAAAAAAGGTGGTCAGGAAAGTTCTATGAGTGGATTACACAATATATTATTATAAGAGGTTAATAATTAGTTGTTTAATTGCTTATTATGTTTATATATGTGTCATAATATATGCTAATAATCAAAGTCATTATGTAATTTCGGATTAGAATCTATGTATATCAATATTTGTTTATGATCTGATAAAAACAGTCTTGTTTAATAGCTTTGTGCTGTTCTAATTTAATATTTTCTGGAGGGAAATTAGTTCTTAAACATAAAAAAAAATAAAAAAAAAAACTCCCAACTAAAGTAAGACTTTACATAAAAGAAAATGATCTCTTACCATTATTATTTTATTTTAATTATAGTAAATATATTTTCACTCAGTTTTCATGTTTTGTATCACTAATTTTTTTTGTTGACAATGTTTGTATTTGAATTAATTCATTTATCATACATCTTTGTGGGAGTAACAAAACTGACCACTTTTTATTTATTATTTTTTGTCGTTTCCAATCAACTAATACTTTGATGCTAACTGTAATAATAAGGAACAAGTCTTATAAAACAAATTAAGAATGAAATTGATACAAGACTTTTGACTACTTAAAGCCTGCTTTCAGAATATAACCAATTTCCTCATAAAAAGATTCTTAATGAGCAATGTAACATTAGTGCTTCTATAATTATTTCAATTAGACATATATTTTTTAGGCTTTCATTCATTGTTTATAAATAGTAAACAGGATAAATACCAATTTTGTTCTTATTACTTGATAATATATTAAGTAATTATGGTTTCTTGATTATCATATAATGTAATATTTTGTTTTATAAATTTTAGAAGGTAAAAAATAAACTCTGATCATCCAGGGTCCAGTCCAGTCCCCTACAAATTTAAGATTATGTACAAATTTGTTAGTTATTATTGCAAGAATTAATTTATTTTTTCTTTTTGTATTATATTATATTGTGTACATATCCATGAAGAGAAAGCTCTCTATTAAATAAGTTTCTATTATTAAATGTTAGTGAGGTATGACTTGCTTGTCAAATGTTAGTGAGATATGATAAAAGTTTATAAAATAATTGTACCTTATTATATTTTTTATTATTCATTAGTAAAGATAAATGGTTTATATGCAGTTGAATTTTCTGGTTTTGCTGCAGTTCATGTGAGCTAGTTGCATAAATCTTATGATTCATTTATCTCATTATGCAAGGATTCCAAATTTTATGTCATTGTGTCACTCCTTCAAGTTTTCACATGACTGGGTATACCACTATCTGCAAAGTTATTTTCTAAACTTTATTTCACAAACAAAACAATATTAAATTTCATTTAAATCCTGATTAACCATTTTCTTTTGAATGGAATTTCAATTTAGATATTTATGTTCTAATTTAAAAGGTTTGTCATAATAATTTTAAGATATTAAGATCCTATTTATTTATTTAGTGCATTTTTTTTTTCATTTACTCCTACCTTGCCACTTCTGGTTTATGGAGAGGTTGCTCTAGAAGGACAACCAAAGTTATTCTAACCAGAGCGGAAGGGAGGGTCGAGATTCATTCTCTAGGCCTGCCACGAAATAAATTTTAATCTGCCCAGGCTGGATTCAAGCCAGCACCACTAGACTCAAAAATGATAAGCTAGCAATGCTTTAACATACTCGCCTACCACAGCTTCAACTATTTAGTACCTACTTTAAACATGTTTAATTTTTTTTTTTTTTAGGCATCTACGACTATATTGATTTATTATATGCACTTTAATTATTCCTCTCCCATATTCATTCTTGAGAATTATTTCCGAGATGGTATTTGGATCTATATTCGAGAAAATACGGGATTTTCCATCATTTTAGATATTAATAAAGTATTAAAACAAATTGGATTCCAGTAAAGGGAAAATAAAAAATTACTTGTCATTGAATTTCAATTCACTGTTCACTTGATTTGTCATATAAAGTTATTTTTTACGTTAATATTAGTTTCTCTAATTACCCATATAAAAAATAAAAAAAACTAAGATAAGATTTGGTTAAAAAAACAGTATGTCGACCTCTTTGTTAGTGCCATTATTTATTTCCACCATTTGATTCTGAGTCAAATCATATTAATTAAATATGATGGATGAATGCATATGGATTCAGCTGTAAATAAATTATTTATAATCTTCATCTCTCTCTTTGTTTATTTTTATTTTGTATATATTTATATTTTTTTACTCATTTTTTGTTATTTCATGTGCTTGGTGTAGTTTTAAGTTTTATTAATATTGTAATGACTGTTAATTATTAAAGGATAAATTAAAGTTATGATCTCAGAAAAGAGAAGTTGAATAGGAGTTACCATTAAACATAGATTAGGTTATTGATAGTCCTTTTTTTTCTTGTACTTTATTATATATATTTTTTTTTTCACCATAATGAAATTTAATTTTGTAAATTTTAATTATTGTTTTATTATATTTTAAGCATATTTGTTATTTGCTTAATTGTAAAATTTAAAAATAAATGCATTTATTTTATGGATCTTCTTCCTTTTTTATATTTTCCTGAACAGCTGCCAATTTTGGGCGATTAGAGCGTTCAGCATGATCTTTAAATTCAGCATGCCAGCCAATGATAGTCAATTTCTCTGGTATAGAATCTCCCCATAACGCTTATGAAGTCACTGTTTGGCTTCAACAGTATTTTTTCCCATCAGACAGTGTTTACTCAACTCGCAGCTTGACTTCTATATTAAAACAAATCTGGTGTGCAAAACACGTAACTTTCACTTACCGCACTACTTTGAATAGAAATTATTTTCTGGCAATGTTGGGCTATTATAAAATATTTGAAGTCCATTTTAAACGGAACTAAAGCTTAAAGCTTACAGATAACAAATCATTAAGACCATTAAAATTACAAAAAGTCTATTTATTATATCAACGATAGGCAATAAAAATCTAGTAACTCCATCTGCTTTTATAAACCACACAACTTCGGTCTCTGATCCTTTCTGTTGACAAAATGACTAACTCCAATTTCAACATTTTTGAGTAATGTCATTTAAGTGATATTTCTAGTTAGAAAAGTTATATCTATTCAGACAGTGAGTAAATTGATTCCACAGTAGGCGATTGCAGTGTTGAAATATATAACTGTGATGCGGTATGAATTTCGCCACTAGATACATCACTAAAATTAATAATAAAGACTGTTGAAATTGGAGTTAGTCATTCTGTCAACCGAAAGGCTCATATATGTCTAGAGAGCTTTGAAAGTATATCTGAATTTTTAACCAACAAATTATTATTATTATTAGTTATTGCACTGTTATTTTATTTAATTCTAACATTTATATAATCATGAGTATTTCTTGTAAAATAATCATTTCATTCAATGTAAGTATTTGAAGTATAGAGTGTTCACATACACACAGACCATTTTTCGGGACTTGGTTATTTGGACTCAGGGTACCTAAAAACGTGTATTTCCGTTGAAAACTCAGATCGAAAAATATTCACGATCGCAATACTTATACTTACTATACATTACATATTTAGGTAAGCGAATTGTAGGCGGGGTGGCCGAATCGGTTAACGCGTTGTGCACAGCACCACCGTTGCCCGGCAACCTGATATATGATAAATGTTATAAAAATAGTCACGAGTTCACTTCCCGGTGCTAAGGCGTCTTTTAAATCCCCGACCACACCCTCTGGCCCGGGAAAACCCCGTATAGCCTTAACGGCGAGGAAGGGGAGAACCAAAAAAAAAATAGAGGAAGGATAAAAATGTAAATAAAATTATTCATTTTTTTAAATAAACCAAAATAATTAGAACATAATGCAGCAAATAACAACGTATATCTTGATGTATGTATATTTATTAATGGTTAAGAAGATTATATGAAATACTTTTTAAGGGCTAAAATATCAAAGCTTTACAAAGTTCTAATTAGCAACAAATATAAACAGGTAAAGGTAATTGTATATAAATATGATAATTAATTGACAATATTTAAAACAAAAATACAAACTAATATGATAATAGTTAAAATACATATCACCATTAAAATGAGACAATTCACAATAAATAATAAAAGAAAAATAGCAATTTCTTAAACTAAAAATCAATCGAATAAAACGCTATTGAATTAGAAATTAGTAAGTGACATGATCTGATAAAAAATTAGGATATAAATAAAAAAAATCATAATTATTTTTTCGGTACTTGTTAGCGACGCGGCCACTGTGGGCTGCTATCTGCAGTTATCTTGTTATTTAAAGTGTTGTTGTTATTTATATTTCTTAGTATTAAATGTTATAACCTGAACACTGATAATTGTTATAAGGCACTGATAATCCCTATCGTCATATGAAATTAGACTCTCGTATAATAAGAAATATAAATATATTTGGTGTTATCTCTGTTTTGCCTGTTTCTTATTATACCTTAATTATTATTATTATTCTTTATTTTTTAACACTTTAAAAAAAAAGTATTTGCCTGGAGTGGGGCAGAATTAACCACTTCACATTAATGTTTGTAGTTTTATTGGATATAAAACTCCTTACAATTCTCGCAGTGTTCTGCAGCTTTCTTTCTTTTAACAGCTTTCTGGGCTTCATTTATCGTAGATGTTGAGAGGCCCAACTTCTCGGTAGCTTCTACATTGGATTTTGGAATGAGCACATTGCTAGAGATCACTAAAGTCCTTACTGTCACTTTGTTCAGTCTGTACAGATCTTTTAACTCGGCTACAAGAGTTTGATATTTCCGTTTTTTACGGCGCATACTGAGTTGGTGTTACCATCATTTGGTACAGCGTTATTATTATTGGGGGGTTAGAAAAAAAAAAAAAACTGTTTCTTATTATATATATATATATAATCTAACTAGAAATATCACTTAAATGACATTACTCAAAAATGTTGAAATTGGAGTTAGTCATTTTATCAACAGAAAGGATCAGAGACCGAAGTTGTGTGGTTTATAAAAGCAGATGGAGTTACTAGATTTTTATTGCCTATCGTTGATATAATAAATAGACTTTTTGTAATTTTAATGGTCTTAATGATTTGTTATCTGTAAGCTTTAAGCTTTAGTTCCGTTTAAAATGGACTTCAAATATTTTATAATAGCCCAACATTGCCAGAAAATAATTTCTATTCAAAGTAGTGCGGTAAGTGAAAGTTGCGTGTTTTGCACACCAAATTTGTTTTAATATAGAAGTCAAGCTGCGAATCCTGTGTTCTCGAATACGTACGTTAATCGTTCACTTCAAAAGAACAGTAACTTCAAGCTTCGGTAATTTTCACCTGCATAAGATTCCCAGGTGTTCAGAGACAATGTGTTGTTTTAAGTGCCACACTTGTTAACTTAATGAACACTTTTTTTTAATTAACTTTTTTTTGTTTTGTTTTATTCATTATGTAATATTCACTGATTACACAAGACACTTTTATTAACACTTTTATTCCATATTTTTTATAACAGTGAAGAACAATGGAAGAATCATAAAATCAATGTTGTCACCAATCATTACAACTTCCCCTCTCAATTCATCAGTACGATATATATAATATATAAATCAAAAACAAATACTATACAATATATAATTATAAATAATTTAAAAATATATATTTTAAAATTCTTCAATAAATCGAATAACCGGCTTGCGTGCACGTTTGGTGATTCGAAGCTTCTCGGCTGGAGGAGATTTCACTCCACGTGAAGCCTCATTCTCCGTTACGTGGGCTGAAAACCCTTCAGGTCCTGTCTCGTATGTCAGATCAGTCATCTCTGTATCAAAACTCTCCTTCATGCTGACCTCTGGCGAAGTGGCATCCTCTGACGATTCCCCACATCCCATCAGTTTAACCGACACATCAGCTCTAGACTGATAATTTTTTTTTTTTTTTTTTTGTCCTTACCTTACCTTTTATGTTATACGGAGCTTTTCCGAGCTGAGAGGTGTAGGCGGGGAATTTAAAATCCCCTTCGGCACCGGGACGCGAACTCGTAATTTTTTTAACCTCTCATAACTTCCGTTATCTGATTGCCCGGCAACCCGTGGTGCTGTGCACTCTCGTTAGTACAATCAGCCACTCCTCCCTCAGCACTAGGCTGACTGTCAACATAACTTCTCTATCTTGTCTACATGGCAAATCCACTGTTGATTAAAAAACGAGACAGATCTGCGTTTACAGCTGGCCACCAAATATATGAGCGAGCCATGAATTTCAATTTTCCCATACCCTAATGTGAGGAGTGCAACTCCTTCAGAATTCGACTTCGCAAGTTTTTTTGGATCACTACGCAATACCTACAGAGAAGTACATCTTTCACAACATGTAATTCCACTTTAATTTTATTGAATTGTTGGAGAGCTGGATTGTTTTTCTCTGACCAACCAAATTTTATGTACTTGATGACTTCTTGTATTTCGACATCTTTTCTGGTTTCTGTAAGCACCTCTTGAAATTTAAGGGGCAAATCCACATTATCTTCAAGTACATTATGTATTTAATGCATGTATTTAATACATGTGCATAACAGAAAATACTAAAATGCTATTACTACTAATTACATATTTGCTTATTCGGTACTGCTAGTGTAAAAGATCGTATGTAAAAATGGAATGTTTTACAGGAAATCATGAAAACTAAAAATTTCTTTATGATTCATAAGTATAATTCATATTTTATTGCGCTCTCCTATTTTTCATAGGTAGTAGACTACTTATATCAATTGCGGACTACATAATGTCAAAAATAGACGAAAAATGGAAAACTTTTACATACGACAATTTACTCTAAAAATAATGATATGTACTTGATTTGTATGTTTTCACTCGTAAAGTGGATGAAACAAAAAAATCGATAGGAAAACTCAACTTTTTGTTTGTTCGGAGTTAACGAGACTAATACTTTTCTTCAATCGGAACAAAACTAATTAAGCTGGAATATAAAAATATGCGGAAGATCACACAATTTTGATACATATATATATATATATATATATATATATATAGAGAGAGAGAGAGAGAGAGAGTGAGAGAGAGAGAGGAAATCGGGACCACGATGAGCTCATGCCAGCTGGTTGAACTTCAATAGACTTCAATAGAAATAACCACAATCACAAATAAGACTTCTTTGTTTATGAATTCAGAGTAACAATTAATTTAAATTTACTGAAAATTACACCAAATCTAAGTAACGACAACAAGCGTCATTCCAGTAACATTTGGAATCAACCAAACAATATAGTATAAATTACATTTTTTAATCAAACCTAAAATTTTATATCACCATAAAAATATTGTATTAACCTAACTCCCACTCCACGTCTTCCACATTTCACAGCTATTATATTTTTAACATTTATTTATATTAATTCTAATTATCAAATGGAATTAAATGAAATTAATACTAGGTTATTTCTACACTATTCTCCAAATTTCCGAAAAATATATTTTCTGATCTAAAAGAGGAAGTATTTTTTGGGAAATAGTATACAGTATTTGATAAAATTGATACATA